CGCCTTGAAGGAAAAAAACAGAATTTTAGTTATTCTCAAAGAAAGCCGCTCAATTTCCGGTGAACTCTTGAGCAAATCCTACATTTTTCTTTTTCTTCTCAAAAGAGCTCCAAAGAACTCTTTGGTTTTCTATTTTTAGAAAAATAATGTAGGGAAGCAAAGGAAATTTTATATTATTTAGTTCTAGCAAACTCGAATGTGGAAAGCGTACTAAAATTTTTCATTATTTAGGTTACCATAGTTCCTCTAACAGAAGATCACTCAAACCGTCAACTTTCAATTTTCTCGATTCCAGTAAAATATATCAAAAATATTTCAACTAATAAAATATAGCTAATAGAATGAAAAAATTTTATCAGTTGACTACTTTTTGATATCTTTCACAGAAGCAGAAATATATAGGGCTCAATGTTGGCGGATTGGGTGGCCTCCTAATAGAGTGTTTGCGGTATTTAAGCTCCAGGAAAGGATATTGGTTACTCATTGGTTAACCATACGAAAAAGCAAAGCTAGAAAAATAACTTGATGCTTCTTACGCCAAACTACCGTAAAACCTCCCTGGACCCTCAATTTTCAGACAGTCAGCGTTAAAAGAGAGCTTCGGTGTTTCCAGAAGAAATAGTCGACATGCATAGAGAGAGGAGCCCAGGCTAAAATAGGTCCTTTTAACCAACCGATTCTCACTTTTCTAACATTTCCTGATCTCACCACAAATGGCGCCATTTTTAAGAATAAGCAAAAAAAACAACGGTTTTAAACCGTCGTGCAAACACCATTCATTCATTCTTCTCGCTATCCGTTTGGTAGATTCTTCTTCTTCTTCTTTTTACAAATCACAGATTATCGGTCCACTTTGGCTCTAAGAACTGCACAGTTTAGAACACGAATGTTTACACATGACCCCTTTTGACGCCAAGAATGAACCGAACACTTTGAACCATAGGGTTGTAAGAAAAAGGAGAAGATGAAAAAGCAACATTCCATCGGGAAAGGGGCAAAGAGATAGATTTGTTTGGCTACACCTTGTTTTATTTATCTACGTAAAAGAGTTTTGTACTTGCAAAAAACATTTTTTCTCCTCCTCCGCCGACGTTTATCAGTAGGTCAGACGAATTGTTTGAGGAAACATAATACAGTAAAAGTAAAAGGTACAAACTACATTTCTAGAGAAACTTCTAGAGTTCCACACCATGTGCCTGGCTGTGGTCAACAAAACAATTGCAAATTCGCACTAAATTTCCATGAATGGCTGTGTTGTTGACTCTCTTTCCCCCGATCATCTCTTTTTTTGCATACCTCACTAATCAAATCATTCTGATCACAAGCCAATTATAAAAAGGGTTACAGTGAGAAGGGAACTATGCTTATCGGAATATAGAAGATAAGCAAAATACGGTTTAAAAAGTTGGTTGATGGCATGAGAAAAAATCAGATGACTGTATGTTATAGCGGGAGAAGAGACAGAGCAAAAATGCGGAAATGATGTGCCACGGCGAGACGGCTGACCAAACAATTAAGGTTTTTAGTTATCGTGAATCGATTGAGCCCTACGGACTGTAGGCTACAGTACTTCCTTCTTTATTTTCC